CAAACGCCGGGCACCCCCTAGGGGCCAGACGGGGCATTGCCCGCGCTCCCTCTGGCGCCTGGCTTCTGAGCCGAGGGAGCCTCTCGGGACGGGGGGAGGTGGGCTGCGAGTCTGTGATCTCTTTTCCTGAGCCAGGCCTGGGTCCTGTTTTGCAGAACCTCCTGGGCAGCTTCCAGGCACAGATGGGACGTCTCTGCAAGGCGGCGCTGGAGGAGCTGAAGCAGATGAACTCTCAGAACGCCAAAGGGAAGCTGCAGGTGCCAAGCCAAGATTTGGGGCCTTGCTGGGTTTGTTCCCGTTAGGGGGAGGAATCGCTGCTCCTACTCGGATCTAGCCTCAGGGCGATCTATAGGGATGCAGTGCCTGGAACAGGAGATAAATAAACAGCAGCACTGCCCAGAAATTCCCACGCCTGCCTCTCCAGGGGGCTCTGTGCCCAAGAAGCTGCTCTCCTAGGTTCCTAGGCTAGATGGGACCATTGTGATCATCTAGTCTGACCTCCCAGGCAGCGATGTCAATTGCAGGAGAACAACTCTTTAATTTCAGGGGGATTGTGGGAAGGCAGTGGAGGACTAGCAATATGGGAATGGGGTGAGTGGCTAGGGCTCAGGCACTGTGACACCAACACCCCCCATGTTTGTTTGGCCAGGGATTCTTGGACATTCTGGAGAAAAAGATAAATCTGGTCGGGCAGCAGAGCGAGAGTGTGGAGTGGAGACACCGGATTGCGACGGAGCTGATGGCCACAGTGGAGAAGCTGCTGAGAACACTGGGCCTGACCCTGCCTGACAGCGTGATCAGCATCACATCCACCAACGGCATAGGTCAGCACCTGCCCACGCGGTCCCAGTATTTCCAGTTGGGCTTTTATCACCCGCAGCCTATGCTCCCGTCCCACTCCCCACAGTGACCCCTGCTGGGAGATGGGAGATTCCCCCCCCCCACAGACGGTGCTTCCGCCCTGCTCCCCACAGCGCCCCCTGCTGGAAGATGGGCGCTCCCCCCTACAGCCAGTGCTCCCGCCCCACTCCCCACAGTGCCCCTGCTTGGAGAGGATGGAACTGGAGTAGCTAGGATCCCTCCCTGCAGCCAGGAAAGCACCTTGCCTAGCTACAGGTTTCCTCTCCATGTCTCTGTTGTGAGCCCTGGCCGGCATTGTGGTTGCAGAGCTGGGGCTGGTGGTCAGGCAGGCTGGGAACCAGAGCCAGGAGACCGTGACACTGCAGCAGAGCAAGACGCAGATGGAATTAAACTGGACCGGAGCCCCAGGGCAGGAAAATGAAGGTATGTGGTCATCCCCTGTGCTGGGGTGTGTATAGCGATGGGCACGGCCAGGGCATTGGGAGCAGCAGCACAACACCCCCTAGCGCAAGGCTGGGGTGTGTATAGCAATGGGCACGGCCAGGGCATTGGGGGCAGCACCCCAGCAGCACAGCACCCCTGGCACCAGTCTGCCCCAGGGCCCCTCCTGCCCCCATTTCATCCGTCTCCTCTGTCTCTCGCAGGCTTCACGCTGGCCGGGCTGCTGACATACCAGGGGATGAGCCCCCTCCTGGACGGTGCTGGGCGGGTGGAGGCGCCCGAGTGGGACGAGATTGGCCAGACGGGGAAGCGGGCGCAGGAGCCCGGGCGGCCCAGCTACCGTGTGCTGTCTCCAGTGGTGTCGGCCTTCATCAGTGACCCGAACCCCCAGGCACTCGGCCTCTCCATCAGCATCCGCTTCAGCCATCCGGTGCCGGTGAGCCCCTGGGCTGGGCATGGGGGGAGGAGAGCCTGGGGTGCTGGGGGCAGAGCCTGGGCCCATCTCTAGTAACACCCCCCTACCCGGGTCAGCTGGTAAATCCGCCTCCCACACAGGGACAAACTGATGCTCTGTGCCTCCAGCCCAGCCCCTTGTACCCCCCAGACCTGCCCCCTGTGCTGCCCCAGCCAGCCCTCCACCCTGCTCCTGCCCCCTCATGCACCAAGCGTCTCTCTGTCCCCAGGAGTCCAAGACCGACCTGCGTCTCCTCTGTGCCTACTGGGAGCCTGACAGCAGGCGCTGGGCCTCCCACGGTTGCACCCTGCAGAAGTTAAATGCCACCATCACCCACTGCCAGTGCAACCACCTGACCATCTTCGCCGTGCTCATGGCCTTCTACGAGCTGGAGGTAGGCGCGGCCCTCGCTGGGGCCTGGTGCTGGTCTGGTTCTGCTCTTCCCCTCAATCCCCCCCAGCGGAGCAGGAGTCACTCCAGATTCCTTCCGGAGTAAACCCATTTCCCACCAGCAGGCGGGGCCCTGGATCTGATATGGGTCTGGACCCTGAGCTCCACACTCAGCCATGGGCAAAGCTCTCCCTGGAGAGACTTGGGGCTTTGCTGGGGAAAAGGCTGAGTCGGAACCCAGGGGGCTGGGCTGGGGTCACTCGTGATTGTCCCTTTGCTGTGTTACAGAAGAGTGACCCACTGACCATCATCAGATATGTCGGACTGACTCTGTCACTGCTGTGCCTCTTGCTCGCCATCCTCACCTTCCTCCTCTGCTGCTCCATCCGCAACGTCAGCACCTCCCTCCACCTGCAGCTCTGTCTCTGCCTCTTCTTGGCCGACCTGCTCTTCCTCACCCCAGTGACACGCACTGGCAGTAAGGTATGGCCTGATTCTCCCCTGCTCTGTTCCTCCAGCAGGGCTGGGGTATGTGGTTTGAACCCCTTTGTGCTCCCTGGATTCTGGGCTGTGCAGGGCAGAGGGGGGTTTCTGGGTGATGTTTCCAGCCTCTTAGGCCCCTTCACATTGGGCACAGTGGTCTGAGTGTCCCCAACCCCTGGAGTTCAGCCAGTTCTATCCCTATGTCACAGTCTCCCTGTGCCTCAATTCCTCTCCTACGTGACTTGCCCGTGGTCACCCAGGGACTCTGTGGCAGGGCTGGGAAAAGAACCTGGATCCCCTGAGCCCTGTTCCCCTGCTCTAACCACTAATCTCTGCTCCCTTCCTGCATCAGCAATGTGCACCTGCAGGACCCTCCATAGACCGAGGAACCTGCCGTCTCTGGGTCATGGAGCATTATGATTGTAGAGCTGTGCTAACAAGAATCCCAGTGTGACTCCCCCCCCACCTGGCAGGTCTCCCCCAAACTCAGCATTTCCCTTCCCCACTGCAGTGTCCCTGGGCTCTCTGTCTCCCCCAGGTTGCATGTGCTGTCATTGCTGGGCTCGTGCACTACCTCTTCCTGGCCTGCTTCTCCTGGATGTTGCTGGAGGGGCTGCACCTCTTCCTCACCGTCAGGAACCTGAAGGTCGTGAATTACACCAGCGCCAGCTGGTTCAAGAAGAGATTCATGTACCCGTTCGGCTACGGATTCCCAGCCCTGGTGGTGGCTATTTCTGCAGCGGTGAATCCTGATGGCTACGGAACTTCCACACGGTACGTGCAGCGTCCATCCTGAAGGGGAGCTGGGATGTGGCTTCCATGCGCTTGTCCAGCCCAATCCCAGGTCTGACTTCAACCTAGATTTCCCTGCTCACCCTGCCTGGGAGCTGAATGTCCCCCTGGGACCCTTCCCATCCCCAGGGACACTAAGCTGCCCCGAGAGCTGTAGTTGAGTTGCCCACCTGACATCTGCACTCCTCACCCCACTGATGATGTGGAAGAACAAGCCAGAAAGATCCCAGCTTGACTCCCAGGTCCCCGGCTGGGTTTGTGCGGCTGGTGGGTAGGAAACAAATGCACCTTCTTCCCGTGTGCAAATCCCTGAGGATCCCCCCTCTAAAGTGAGGGACTCACTAAAACAGGGCGTGGCGTGTTCTAGACACCCCAGGCCAGATCCTCAGCTGGTGTAATCCGGGCAGCTCCACTTCCTTCAGTGCAGCGAGGCCAATGTCCATCCGCTGCATGTCTGGCCCTCCAGCAATACTGCGCCCATCCACCAGAAAGGGTCATTTGAGGAGGTGGAAGAGGAAGTGGTGGCTGAAAGCAGGAGATGCTGAGGTACATGGGGAGGGCTGTTCACCTGTTACCTGCAAGAGAGTCGGCCATGTCACAGGCAGGCTGAGATCTATCTCGCTTTTGAGAGCCAGCTGCCCTGTGACCCCCCCTCTCTGCCCCGGGGCTGAAAAGGGGCAGTAATCCCATTAACGTCACCTTCTTCTTCCTCCCTCCTGCTAGCTGCTGGCTCAGCCTGGAGAGAGTCTTTCTTTGGAGCTTCCTGGGTCCAGTCTGTGCCATAATCCTGGTGGGTACCTCCCAGAACCACAGGGCCCCATTCTCCTCTCACCTCTGCAACCCCATTGATTTCAGTGAAGCAGGGAGGAGAATGTGCTATATAAAATAAATATAAATTATAAAGATATCCGAACTCCTAGAACTGGAAGGGACCTTGAGTCCAGCCCCCTGCCTTCACTAGCAGGACCAAGTACAGATTTTACCCCAGATCACCCAAGTGGCCCCCTCAAGGATTGAACTCACAACCCTGGGTTTAGCAGACCAATGCTCAAACCACTGAGCTATCCCTCCCCATAACATACAAGGAAAAACCCAGTTAGGTCCCACCTGGCTCATCTGCTGGGTTACTCGCAGGATTAGTCCCTGTGCTGCATCCCCAGGCCTACAACTTTTAGTCGGGCACAGCTCCCATGGATATAAGGAGTTTTGCCAAGTGAAGACAGCAAGAGTGTGATCTAGTCTAGTTAATGACCCAAGGAACAAGGAAGGGCGAGGGCTGCACTCTGCAGTGGTTTTTCGGGGGGGGGGAGAAACAAATGTCCCTACATATTCCTCCCTACCCCCTGGGGACGTTGTGGAGGCGGGGAATTTGTTAGAGCTAGAAAGTGGCAGGAAGTATTCTAGAGGCAGGATCTGGAATCTCTGAGCCAGATCCTGCTCTGTTACACCAGTGTAAACACAAAATTGCTACTGACTCTACTGGAGAGGCTCCATATTTAACTTTGAGGAGCATCTGGCCTCTGTGATCTCATTGATCCATCTCAGCCCTGGCTGTGCTGTCAGCTCCACACATGGGAAGGGACCGAGAGCTGCCAGGGGATATTACAGGAGAGGGGATGATTCCCACCAGAAACAAACAGTCCCCGGTTCTGCAGTGTTTGGCTCGTTCCCCTGGGATCGTTCTCTGCCTCAGCTGGAGTCACCGGCCCCGGATGGGATGTTTTACAGGAAATATTTCCCACTCTTCCCACAGATAAATATAACGTTCTTTGCCCTGACTCTGTGGATCCTCAGAAAAACACTCTCCTCCCTCAATGCAGATATGTCCACCCTCAGAGACCACAGGTGAGAAGGCAACAAAAAAATCCTGGAGGTTCAGATGCCTTGGTTTGGAGGGTCCTTGGCACCGGGAGGGTGTGAGGGATTGCAGGAGGGGAACAGCATATCTAGGGTCCATGGGAACAAATAAACACAGTGTTTTTATTGACAGTAACCCTGTCCCACACAGGAAAGCTGGAGATGTTAGCTCCACCCCATTCTGCCCAGATTCTCCTGCCCCAATTACTCTCCATAGGGTTATTGTAACGGGATCTCTCCATCTGCCTTTATCCAGGTTACTGACCTTTAAAGCCATTGCCCAGTTTTTCATTCTGGGCTTCACATGGATCCCTGGTCTCTTCCAAGTCAGCCCAGCAGCCACGGTCATGGCGTATTTATTCACCGTCAACAGCCTGCAGGGACCCTTCATCTTCCTGGTGCACTGTCTCCTCAATCGCCAGGTAATGCCCACGGCCCATCAGCGCCCAGCACCTTCACCGGCCTCGCGGTGGCCATCTCTGATCTTCTCCGAGTTAGTTACATAGTGGAGTGACCGTGTCCCTCACTCTCCAGGTGAGAGAGGAGTACAGGAGATGGATCAAGAGATTCCGAACGTTCAGCACGAAATCTCAGACATCCGATCTATCCATGTCTGCTGTCCCCACCACCAGCACCAAGACGGTAAGAGGTCCTCTGCTGTGTTCCAATACCAGCCTGTGAAACAGGCATCTCTAGCTGGGTCTCATCACTGCTGTAAAGGTGATTTGCCTCTCGAATGACACAGGATTGGTTATGAGCCAGCTGGGAACGTCACTGCAAGTGTTAGTGAGAGTCGGTCACTATTGAGGGGTATCCTAGATGTCTTAGGCACCAGAGCAGAATGGCCTGTCCTGGCACCTCCGCGTTCCCTTCCCTTGGCTCTCCTGAGAGCTCCAGGGGTCACTCACTGTGGACTAGGCAGGCATTGGCTCTTGCAGTGCAATGATCTGAATAGATCAGATTGTCCCCTGGGATTGAAACCTTGTCAGTGCAGACGGATCATCCCCAATGAGCAGTCAGCACCGTGAAGAATTTCCCTTGGCTCCATTATCCCTATGGGTCAGGAACCAGGGGCTTTGTGTGTCGCCTCCCAGAGACAACCCGCCAGTTTGCACATTACACTCTCAGTGGCCTTGGAACCTATTGTCATTTTTCTGCTTTTCTTGCCAGGTGTAACCCGTCTGCCAGGAGGAGTCGGCAGCCACCAGGGCCGGGTTCAATACCTAGGGGTTCCAGTACAAAACAGAACCGGCTGGAGCCCCCTGTGACGTTGCACTTCATATGCTTTATGGAAATATGCTCATGAATATGACATAACTGGAATATGCTTTATGCTAAATACCCCTTGTGGGGTGTCTTTAGAAAGCTTGTAATCTACTAAGTGTGTTCATCCTATTTGTTTGCATGTGTTATTTCTATATCTGGGGTTAGGAGAATAAGATATAAACTTGTATCACTGATGAAAAACATAGTAAGTGGAGGCCATTAAGGGTGCTCCCAAAACAATCAGTTGTAAATGGCCTTAGTTACTTGAAAGCCTCCCTGTGTACGTGTGGGCCAGCCCATGGGGAATGGAGACTGGGGGTCTTACAGTGACATGTGACCATTCACCTGATAATGAAATCCATCTTAAACCTGGTACTTTTCCATTTAGAAGGAGGGGTGGGGACCCAGAGAGAGAAAAGATTCCCGCCTTGTGCGAAAGCTATAAAAGTGTGTGGAGCAGGACAAAGGGATGCTGGTCATGAGAAAACCCCTGCTTACCTCCTGAGATATCTGCTGGATCTAACAAAGACTGTACCAGGGGAAAGGATTGGGCCCAGAATAGGAAGGAGTCTATGAAAGAAACTTATTGGAACATCTCTGAGGGTGAGATATTACCTGTAATCAGTTTCTTAATGTATTAGGTTTAGACTTGCGTGTTTTGTTTTATTTTGTTTCGAGACTTCCTTCGTTCTGGCTGTTATTACTTGAAACCACTTAAATCCTACTTTTTATGCTTAATAAAATCACTTTTGTTTATTAATAAACCCAGAGTAAATGATTAATACCTGGGGGAGCAAACAGCTGAGCATATCTCTCTATCCCTGATACCATGATATAGAGGGCGAAAAATTTATGAATTTACCCTGTACAAGCTTTATACAGAGTGAAATGGATTTATTTGGGGTTTGGATCCCATTGGGAGATGGGTGTCTGGGGGCTGGAGATAGGTAAACAGCTGAGCTGTTTTTAGTTAGTCTGCAGCTATGGGACACGGCCCAGACCCTTGCAGCTGGTTAGCATGTCTGACTCAACAAGGCAGGGAGCTGAAGTCCCAAGCTGGCAGAGGTAATGTCAGCACATCAGGTGACAGTCCCAAGGGGATGTCTGTGACCAAACCTGTCACACCCTCACCCAGTAATCTGGGAAAACTTCACACCACCCCAGGCACCTCTCTGAGGCAATGCATTCCCTCTCCCAAGCACTGAGTCTGTGTATAACAAAGAGAACTTTTAATAAAAAGGGGAAAGGAACCTGGCATTAATCTGGGAAACCCCACAACCACGATTCAAAAGCTTGTGACCATGTGGAAGGCAACAATATTTTTTAGTAAAAATCACAGACAGGTCATGGGCAATTCATGGAAGCCTGTGACCTGTCCTGACTTTCACGACAAAAATACACTGACAAAACGGGGAGCCGAGTTCAGCTCTGTGCCCACAGCTGCTGGAGCTCCGGGGTCCCCCACCCCCACTCTCCCACTTTGAAGTCGCCCGCTCCCCACAGCACCTAAGTAGTTGTGTGGAGGGGTCCCACTGCCTACGGCAGCAGGGAGCTCCGGTTCCCTGCCACCTGTGGCAAGTAGGATGTCTAGGGTTCCCCTCTGCCCCACTCTTCCTGCCATGACTGGGCAACAGCAGACGGTCCCGTGCCACCAGCCGCAGGGGAGCCGGGGACGCTTGGTGATGGAGACGGCCTTCCACAGCATCAAGAAGATAAGCATCGCGGCCGAGGAGGAGATGGGCCCGGGCAGCGGGGCCTCACCAGGTAGGGTCCAGCATATGCATCCGGGGGGCGGGTGCCCCGTGGCCTTCCTCCCCCATCAGGCTAGGGAGCTACCTGCCCCCTGGTCAGTTCTAGGGTGGGGATTATTGGGGGGCAGAGCTAATTGGAGGGGAAAGGCCTCATGTCTGTGACCTCCGTGATATAATCGTAGCCTCAGCCACGAGCAAACTCCTACCCCAGAATATATTGGGCAGTGTCCTTTGCCTCAGTTTCTTCCCTTGTGGTGTGAGAGTCCAACAAATTCTCCTTGAACCTGCCTTTGCCTCCCCTGCACCCCACTCACCAAACCTTCCACCTTTTAAAGCCCCCCACTCACAGTTGCTGTCTTTGGTTGGCGAAGGCCCAGAGTTCAGAGCGTTCATGTGAGTTCAACTCCTCCTGGATGGGTGGGAGGTGGGGAGATGGCGTCGAGAAATGCCTTGGCTGCTTCTGCCACCACCACGTATACAACCGAGGTCTGGTCTGACCTACAGACCTCTATCGCTATAACTATGTTACTTAGAGGGGTGAAAAATCCACACACACCCGCCTCCTGTGTGACGTAGTTATACCAACCTGAACCCCTGTGTAGACACTGCTGTGTTGCCAGGAGAGACTCTACCATTGACACAGCTGCCGCCCCTCAGAGAGGTGGATTAACTACACCGATGGGAGAAGCTCTCTCCCGTCAGCTTAGAGCGTCTCCATTAAGGCGCCACAGTGGCACAGTTGCCCCGCTGCAGCTGTGCTGATGAAGCCTCTTAAGCGTAGACGTGCCCTAAGGCTCAGCGGCTAGACCTGGTTCTCAGTGATTTCAGCTCCAGCGATCACTTAACAAAACAAGGACTCTCCAGTGTGTCTGATCAGCTCTGCCTTTACACAGTGGCGAGGGAGACGGTCAAATGGCATCTAGGACTCTTTAGGCAGAGCCCACACCCCCAGTACAGACACCTCTTCAGACCCTCTTTCTCTCTCACTGTCACGGGATTTGTCATCCCCACCCCCCTGCGTAGCGAGTGAGCGTCAATCAGGGCACGCTAACCACAGTTCTGCTGCCCTGTCCTCACACAACCAGGGTGACAACATGCCATTCCCCTGCACTCCCCACTAAAGTGATTTGTAACCCAACACCAGCCAAAAGGGGTCAATTTGGCAAAGCAGTTCCCTCCGCTGAGTTCCTAGGCACAGTAGGAGCTTCCGGAAACACAGTCTGTTGCTGAATTTGTTCCCCGAGCTCATCACTCCACATCAGAGGGGAGCTCAGTCTAACCCCACTTACACAGCAATGAAGAACGTGGAGCGGAAGCGGAGCCTTGCATGTCTGAAACACCTCCCTGCTCCCGCCCAGCTCCAGACACTGCAGCCTTCGCATGGGAGAGGAAGCTGCTGGTACATTACAAACAGCTGATTGCAGCTCCTCGAGGTGGGGGAAGGGAGCAGGCTCTGTCTTTCCTGGGCGTGGGAACCCTGTTAGAACCACCCCCAGCAGCTGGAATATTCCACAGAAAAATCAGGCATAACCCCATTGAATTCAGTAGAGTTACTCCTGCCTTGCACCCGGGTAAATGAGAGCAGTAGCTGGCCCACCTCAGCACCACACTGGTGTCCCGCAGCTCTGACTCATCTCCCAAAGCCCTGGGAAGTGGCCAGTCTCCAATCTTAAGGGTGGATTCTCAGGGGAAAGAATAACCGACATCCTGGTCAGGAACCCAGAGGGGCATTGTCCCTAGGACATTACAGGGCCTGGTGGTTGAGGAGATACCAAGAGCCTTTCACCTCCAGAGCAGCAGCTGACCCCTTGTTGAGGAGAGGGGCCAGACCAGCCTGTGCTGGACCTGCATCCTAAGACCACCTACCTCTTCTGTAGCTCATTTCCTCAGAAGGTCTCAATGTCCTTTATAAATAAGGCCATTATCAGTATCCCCATGTTACATAAGATTCCTGGGAAGCAAGTGGCAAGTTCTCAGATTGGGTCTGGGAAGCGCAGTCCCTGGGAATTGGCAGACTCTCCACACCCAAGTTGGGTTACATGGAGCTGAGCTGCATCCACACTACAAAGCGTTTGGGCTCTGACTTCATCACAGTGGGAATTCGGCTCTGACCTCATCCCCTAGCAGGCTCTTCAAGCCTGAGTCAAACTAACTTCTGTGTGGACAGAAGTGGGGCTTGGTCTTAAACCTGAGTCAGAGCCCCTGCTTAGTATGCTGTGTAGACGTACCACTGGGGTCTACCTGCCGGCAGGGCTGGATTTCCAAAGAGGCATAGTTGGCACCTGTCTAGGGGCACCGGGAATTCTAGGGGCGCCTTACTTCTCTAAAACTGTGTGCAACACGAAGGTCAACTGTAGGCGGGGGGGAGGGAGGGCGGAGGCTGAAGATGCTGTTCCTAGGGGCACATAGGGTGTAAATCCGGTCCCTGCCCTCCAGGGCTTGAGATGCTGCCATTTTAAAGTTACAAACTGATGTGGAAACACATCTCAGGCGCCTGAGTCACTGTGATTGTCCCTGCATTTTAAGTGCAAAGCTTGTAAGTTTTTTCACTGCAGCTTCCATTGCTGTTGCTCAGTCTGTTGCTTTGGGCCAAGTTACGTCCCCTTCTGCCAGGAATCGGCTTTGAATTCCCCCATTGGTTTGTGGTGTTACTAATCTGCCCTGCAGCACATAGGACATTTCCAACCGAGCGCTAGTCAGCTAATAGTTTTAGCTCTTCCACATACACAGCTACGGTTTCACCTTGTTCCTCACTCTGCCATGTCACTTGAAACGTTCTACGATAACGCTTGGCTGTGGTGTCTGTGCTTGCTCTGTTCAGATCTCTTCCGGATCTTCTGAAGTTTTACCTCCTACTTCCAGGCACCCCTGGGCACGTGGCTACTGTGCCAAACTGGAAATCCCGTCCTGCCCGAGGGTAGACCCCTATGGTACGTCTACACAGCATACTAAGCCAGGGCTCTGACTCAGGTTTAAGACCAAGCCCCGCTTCTGTCCACACAGAAGTTAGTTTGACTCTGGCTTGCAGAGCCTGCTAGGGGATGGGGTCAGAGCTGAAGCCCCACTGTGATGCAAGTCAGAGCCCAAATGCTTTGTATTGTGGATGCAGCTCAGATCCATGCCAGCAGACTCGGGTGTGGAGACTCCACCAACACTGTCCCACAATCATAGAATCATAGGACTG